ATGGAATTGACTGCTTTCGACAGATTGTTCAACTAAAATCTACTTTAAAATAGTACCCTATATCATATAGTATCATATTTAAAAAATACGTCGTACGATACAATCACCAACATGAGACAAGAAAAATACATGCGCTATTACAGCAAACACAACAAACCCGTGAAATAGATATTACATTAATACACCTTAATACGCTGATATTGCATTGTTTTCTTTTGTGTYCATTTGACTRCTGTATCAAACTTTAATAGTCAAKTTTCACGGRTTTAGAGTYATTTTCATRCGTCTGTGAAACAATTACTACTAGTCAGTGTTTAATAGTAACTATTAGGGTGAAGTAGGCTACCAAAAGGAAAAATCAAAACCGTGTTTCCCTAATTCAGTTGTTGCAYGTGTCATAAGTTAAACTATTGGGAGCTAATAGGTGTAATAGTTTTTAATAGTACAATTCCTATTTCACAGACGGATGAAAACACATTCGAAGTTTCTCTATATAGCGGAAGAAAAAAGAATTTTTCGACATAATTTGCTTTCATATGTAATTATAGAATAAACAGAATATTATATGGTCGCTTGGAGATACGAATTTTATCTTCTCGTGTTGAAAATCTCTCACTCGTTCGCTACACTCACTCGTGAAAGATCTATCAACACTGAAAGATAAAATCCGTATCTCCGCGCGCCCATGTAATATCCTCTATTTATATAAACTACATAACTACACCTAACTATTAAACATTCTAATAATATCAATATCACTATATTACCGGAAATCCATTATTTTAAGAAGATTTGGCTAAAAAACTATAATTCTAGTAAAAACAAAAATATAACTATTCCTAAAATCGAAAATCGCCTCTTTTGAGAAGCTTTTGCTGGAGCGAAAAAATTGGCATGACGTCGTTGTTTATTCAATATGAAACGAAAAATATGCAGTCTTAGAAACACGAGCGTAGCTTGCTTCTCTCGTATTTTTGGCGTCGTTGTTTAGTTGCCATGGCATCGTTTGGTTTCCATAGCGTCGTTGATTATTGCTGTTTACCACGGTTTGTGAAAACCAAGAAAAGGAAAGCAAGAGCGCGATACACCACGCCAAAGATGAACATGATTCCAATGCAGAGCCAATAGTTATCCAAAGAATAACCATTCTTGTTTGCAAGCATATAGACATAGMCGTCCTTGACAGGAGGGAAACGGACAGCTTCCTTTTCAAACATGGCCTCSACGAACCAGCGTGAGTACGACAAGTTATAGAACACAGGCCCAATGAAGGTGAATTTGTTCATGTCACACAGCGATGGAGAGAGGCCTGTGGAATTTTATGTCAAGTTAATAATATAATATATATAATAGTTAATGGGCTGAAAATAAATAGAACAAGACGGAGAGAGCGAGGGAATAGTGGAGTTCAGTAACCTCTCGCCCAACCTCGTTCTCAGGCCCTCCCCAAGCGAAGGGATAAAGGGCCTGGGAACGAGGTTGCCTCTCGCCTTGTGGATACAACAGGTACTATTCAAAGTGCAAATCAATATTGTGGACGGTGGAGAGGGGGAAGGGGGTGGGGGATGGATCCAGATGTTTTCCAGGTAGTGGGGGAGCGGAGACGTTTTGCTCCATCATAGGATGACGTCATATAGAAAAAACTAAGAAAAACGCCTTGATTCCGCCACTACGATTGCATGCTCATTGCCTTCCTAATGAAAAGAAAGACCAGCKTATCTGAGGGRAAACCAAAGGCAGCACCTCCATCAAACGTGTACTCAGACCTTGAGGTGAGTCAAACAGTTCCAGCGCCCACACGTACCTGAGACCAAAGACAGGATAAGAGTGAAAGTAACAGAGGCCATTTGTGAGTTTTTGGGATTGAACAGAGTCGAGATGGCATAGCCCGTTCCTGTGCAGGCAAACTGAGCTCCTAGAACAGCCATATAGTGGAAAGCAAGATATCCTGAAACGGAAAAGTGAAATTCAAAGTAACATGAAGAGAGTGTTGTCACAAATCAATGCGTCATGCAATCTTTTGCGTCTTTTTTTGGATTCCCTGTGTACTTACCACGTGGTGCAATCAATGGGTAYAACAGACTGAGATACGTCATAGGTGTGATGATTATTATGGGTAACTGGACAAGATTGACAGCCAGGAAGTAACTCAATCTATTAATACCAGTGGACGATTCCCTGCAAGGAAAAAACAAAAAACAAAAAAACACTGAAATAAAATACATTGACACAAAATTTTTCTTATTTGAAAGGACTGCCTCCTTCTCATTGTACAAGCAGACAATATTTCTGTGTTATGATGACGTCAACTGCATTGTGGGGTGACGTCATTTTACAACAGGATGACATCATTTTTAAGGAATGATCATTGACGTCATTTTGTAACTATCACACATATATCTTGGCATAATGACATCATTTACGGTATAAAGATGACATAATTAGCAGAATGAGGCTATTTATGTTCACTGAAAGATTGGCAGGCATATTGCCACACTTCTGGTTTAGCGTGAGGCTTTTTTTACCTCCAGAATGTTGTTCTGTTGTTACCAAAGCACCTCAACGATGCCAACATCGCGGTCAGCCCAATGGCAAGAGAGCTAAGAGTTTGTAGCACGAAAAACTGATCCAAAGGAGCCTGGGAAAATGCAAAAGGTAGGGTGATATCTTGAGCCTGTGCAACTCTTTAAAGATCTTACCAGCGGCATGATTAAAGGTGTTACTTACATTACGTCTCAAGGCACCAAGAATACCACCAGCCAACAACACAAGAAACTGGTCCATTAAYAAGCTTTTTACCAGACGAAACTGAAGGATTACTTCACGGATACAAAAATGCATTAGTTGTTTAAAGAAACCTGGTAGTTGACGGTGCTGGTCTGAAAAAAAAGAAAGAAAGAAACAATCAATGACATATTACAAAATGGTCACTTTCAGTCCCATTGTGTGCGTGTCCTCTCAACACATCAATGAGAATGTGATAAACAAGCTATAACATTAAGTCGTAATAATGAACTATTCATAAAATAAAAGACTGCACTCATGGTCATTCAAACCAAAGATATGAAAATTTGCCAGTACCCAAATTGTCTGCCAAAACCCAAATGGGTGATCGATTAGAACTCTGTACATACCAGTTGGAGCATTTTGCATATAATCAATTGAGAGTGGCCTTTCATTTGAGTCTGACGAGGAGGAATCACTTGTCCTCCTTGCATATCTCTCCCATAAATCAAAAAGACTTGATGCCATAAACCCTCCATCCTCTTGCTTRTCATGCAATCCACCAATAACATCCATGTAGAAGTCAGCAGGGTTGATGTTCTTGGGGCATAAAAGTTCATGAGAAGTAAAGTACTGATCTGCTTCATCAACAGTTCCCAAGAAGACAGTGCGACCYCCAGGTCCAAGGAACAGGACTTTGTGCATTTGACCTGGTGAAAGAAGTAAGTATAGAACTGAAGCAACACAATAGCCTAATCGGCCAATTCGGCTAATGCGTTGCTATAAACGTTTCCACCCAATTCAAACCACCAAGGAGTAAGTTTCATTATTTATTGTATTTTCATTTCACAGTTGAATTCTTAGAAACAAAAGTTCTTTTTCCCACAGGATTTGAACGTACATGGCAACGCATTTGCCAATTAGGAATATTYAAAAAACTGAATATCTAAGTAAAGAAAAAAAAGGTGTGAAATATGAAAAACAACATTAAATGAGAATGTAAAGAAAAGAACAATAAGATACAAGAGCCAAAAATAAACATAGGATATATAATGATTGCAAATGAGGTTACGTACTGAATATTTCATAGCGYGGTTGATGGATGACACACACAACTGTCAATTTTCCTTTCTCTGCCACTTTACGTAATGCATCCAGTACCAATAGACTTGATGTACTATCTAGACCACTGAATATGAATGAATGTAAGCATGGGATTAGTGAACATGGGATTCCTGTGCTTTCTAATATATCATAATCAATTCTAATAGGCAATGTGCAGCAAAGCAGTTTTTAGCAGCAAAAGATCATAATAGTCTTCRCACTTTTTTTGTCTGCTAAAGCAGTCCTCCTACCCAGTTTTTGCTTTTTTCTAACTGAAAATAGAAGTATTTGTGCCGTTTTTAAAAGAAAATGTAAAAACAGCTTTTTAAGGAGACATTTTAGGGTCTATGAAAAGTCAATGCGAGGACTACAACTACCATCATGCTTTACTGCACAAAATGCCATCACTGCTCATTGCCTACTTGTGTACAACATGTAATTTACCTAGTTGGTTCATCAAGAAATAGTAGAGTTGGGTCGGCCACTAGTTCCATTCCAATGTTCACTCTTTTCCTTTGTCCACCAGATATACCTCGAGCTTCCTGTGGGAAAGTTCAATCATTGAAGCAAAAGAACATGAAGAAAAAAAGAACAAAAGAACATATAAAATCTTTAACGCCCACCATCAATTCACGCGACGAACACAAAAACTACAAGATTTGTTATTCTAATTGACTATGTTTCCTTTTGTTCACCCGTTGCCCTTTGTTCGCCCTTTGACTATCCATCTATACGCTTGATCGCTTCGCCTTATATTTTACGTGTTTATTCTATCTCGCCCATTCCCTGATGATGCTGTAGACAGCGAAAGCTCGGAATCATATTTTTGTTGTAAACTCGATCTACACACTTAGCGGCTTCGGCTACATTTTGTATTTTCATCACATCA